TCACCACTCGGGAGAATTCGGAAATGCAACGTTCGGAACAGCCGCTTCCCTACGACTTTAAAAGTGTTTAAAATAACAGAAAATAAACAGTTTTTACAGTATAAATACTTTGCATGTGGAATATGGGAGAAGATCCTTGCTTTCTTTCACATGCCGGCTTCACTTCTTAACTTTCCTCCCAAATATTGAGCAGTTCACTATGATTTTTTTTTCTCCTTTTCTAACCAGTGGGACACTTTTCAAGAATCTCTCTCCTTCGGTTTCCCTGAGCTGGGAGGGTTGTTAAAAAAGAAGAAAAAAAAGAAGCTGAGGGTATCAAATAGCACTTATTCAAACAGCCAGTCAGACATAGCGGCAGCTCTCGCCGACTTCTTTGACCTCTCAGCTTCAAGTAAAAACAAACTGCAACAACCCTGCAGCTGGTAGTAATTCAGTCGAGATCATCTTAATTAATTGAACAATTTCCTTGGAATTTATGGGGGAGGGGGTTAGGCCCCCACCACCAACAAATCCCCAAAGTGACTATTGGGACAACGGCTTAGATTTGGCCTGCAAAGACGATAAGAATAAGAAAAAACGGATGATTATGATCATTTTCAATATGTGTTTGATTAGTTTCCATTGATCATTTTTAAGATTTAAGACAATAAAAGCCTTAAATAGTCTGAAAAAGGGGAGTTAAAAGGCAGAGCCTCGTGTGTGTAAGATATCTGACAAGTTTAATACGGCGTCTGAGCAGTGAACGCAGCGCTGGTTTTCATTAGCGGCGCCACGGCTGTGAGGGGGGAGCCATCAGATCGAGCACCAAAACTCTGTTCTTTTTCCAATAGGAAATACCACACACACACACACACACACCAGTGGGACGGTTTAAAGGGAAGAAAAAGCTTCTTTCCGTTTGAAAATCTCGCTCTATTAAAATTATTCGCTGCTTAGTGGACGTCGGTTTACAGAAAACACATGTCAACAATGGCAGGCGTCGGGGAAAGCTCTCACGATTTCACGTTTTTTCACCGTTTGTGGGGTCTGGTCTGCTGGACTCCGGCAGGTCGGAGCTTTTGTGAACTCGGTGTCGCCGGTATAAAAACTGTAAAGTCTACATGGGATTAAATCCTTCGCCTGTGTGCCTCTAATTTCCCACTGGGTGTCCATTTTGGAGAGCATGAAAACTGATCTGCTTTTGTTTGGAGCCAGAAGACCTCTGAGTCTCCCATCAAACCGTCTTTCATGGATCCAGAGGACGACCGCAGACATTTTCAGGGTTCCCCATCAACCAGATTACAATAACGTAAACCAAAATGTTAAAGACTTTTTAATTTTCCTTAATATGGTTTCTGTTCTACTTATCCAGTTTTTATTCCCATCATGCTTCAGTGTAGTGACGGTAAAAAGAACCATAAATCAAATTTTTGTAATTTTAAGTTGAGTTAGACTCTTTGATTAGGATATATGGAGTGAATTTTGGTCCTTAAAGTCAGGCAAACACTGTGCGTTTTTTTTCAATCGTTGCGACAAACTCTATTTCACTCATTGCACCCCCGCCATGCTTCTGGGTTTTCCTCTGAGAGGAAGAAGAAGAAGAATCCTTGTTGCCCACTGAGCGATTTGCCCACGACCAACGTACGATGGCCGACTGATTTTTTTAACGATGTTTGATTTTCTCCCGACCTTATGATTCCTGATGGAGAGGTGGTTGTTAGAGGCTGATCGACCCTCGTTACCCACTGTACACCACGCACCATCAGGCTGAAAGTCGGCCCAATTTAAAAATTCTTGCACGACTGGAAAGTCGCCCCGAAAAGGGAAAAAAAAATCATACAACGTACACCCAACTTTATGCTACATAAAGACCGCAAGCAGCAGAAGCAGCTAGCTTACATGCAAACTCGCGTCAAGGTGCAGCAAAAGTTCCTGCAGCGTCTAGAGCAGCAGAAGCAGCTAGCTTACATGCAAAGTCGCATCAAGGTGCAGCAAAAGTTCCTGCAGCGTCTAGAGCAGCAGAAGCAGCTAGCTTACATGCAAAGTGGCATCAAGGTGCAGCAAAAGTTCCTGCAGCGTCTAGAGCAGCAGAAGCAGCTAGCTTACATGCAAAGTGGCATCAAGGTGCAGCAAAAGTTCCTGCAGCGTCTAGAGCAGCTGAAGCAGTATCTAGAGCAGCGCCTCA